CAAAATAATCTGAACAGACTACTGACTGAAGTATCAGTGCAGAGGAGAAACAGATGAGCAATTAACTCAAAAATTATATTTTAAAGTTTAAAATATGTAATAACAGCAGCTGATTGATATTCCTAACACTAACCAGTGCTGGCTCTAACCATTTTGGGGCCCTTAGGCGAGTTGAAGTGCACCCCCTCCCCCAACTATGTCCCACCCACCCCAATTTGAACCCCTAAAAAACAAGTTTGACAGTGTAAGGTACTATGGTAAACTTAGATTTGTTGGCTTTCCCAGAAAGCAAATAAATAACAACATACATGTCAACTTGTACAGATTGTCTGTAAATTATAAAGATTTTACATCATTTTGCAGGTATACAGACGTATAGAGCAATCTCAACGATTTTTCCAAGTCTTATGGATATTTTAAAAACCTCATTTTTAAATTTATCTAACTTGTCAGAGCCTGTAGGATGATTTAAAAAACAACAAATAACATTAAACAGGCGTCTTCCAACCTGTTCTGCCGCTAGAAATAAGTTACTTTTTCCTCTCTCCTTTCCTCCTGCTTCACAGCGAGGCTGACAACCCCCGAGTTGTATGGATTTTTTGCAAAATTTACATATTTTTGAGTCTTTTTATCCAGGTAAACGTCTGAAGAGGTTGACATGTTTGGGACAACAAAACACCGACTTGTTAGTGAGTTTGTCAACATGAACCGCTACCTGCGAGACATTAGTAGCCCCTCCCCCGTCAGAGTGTCAGAGCAGGATGAGTCAGTGCAACGTCAATCAAATGAGAGAGAGGGTGGGGGCGAATCCTGCATTGGGGGGGAGAGAAAATGTTTTATGGGTAGAGTAGTTTATTTTTCCTGTAATACTTCATTATAGTTTTTTAAGACAAWMCTAWVTGAAAGGGGCGCTGAGCAGAGTTACAACCAGGGATTACAAATAATTACTTTTTTTTCTTCTGCAGTTCAGCGCCCCCTCCAGCAGATGGCGCTCTAGGCGACCGCCTAGTTTGCCTATGCCAAGAGCCCGCTGTGATTACAAACTCATACAAGGAGATAAAATAGACATTTTACACGGTGGAATCTGACTGATGAAAACTTCGGAGCTTAATCCAGGACCAGTTTGTGGATGAATAACGTCGGGTGACGAGTCTGACTTCCCTTTTTTTTTTTGCGTTGAACTCCACCAAATTGAAATCCCGTGCATAC